TCCCCGGCTAGCCGTCTATGGACACGGAGCCCTGTTCTACGTCTGAGCCGAACAGCTCCTTGTATAGTGGAGGGAAGTGGGCTTGGACGACGTCTGGGTAGGTTGCTTTGAAGGCCGTCAGCTTCTCTGTATGACGGCTGACTAACGCCCGCAGGGTTGACACTTTGCATATCAACTGTAGAGCGAGAGAGAGAGAGAGAGAGAGAGAGAAAGAGAGAGAGAGAGAGAGAGAGAGAGAGAGAGAGAGAGAGAGAGAGAGAGAGAGAGAGAGAGAGAGAGAGAGAGAGGTTATTGGGATTCAAGCACTGCTAGGTCACATTCAGAAATTCTGACAGACAGAAAGGACTTTCACATTTCCGTAAAGACCAGGGCACTGTCTGAGTGTGTCTTCAGGAGTGATGGTTATGTTACAGTGGTGATGCGACTGAAATCCCAATGCCTGTTCAGTTCAGGATTAGATTTCATAGATCAAGTAGGCTATACCGAGAGCACTATCATTTAAAGAACGCTTGAACACAGACAGTATCTACTCTATAGCAGTACAGTGCAAGCAGGGTTGGGGCTCAATTCCATTTTCAATTCATTTACATTTACGTCATTTAGCTGACGCTCTTATCCAGGGCGACTTACCGTGAGTGCATACATTATTATTTTTATACTGGCCCCCCGTGGGAAACGAACCCACAACCCTGGCGTTGCAAACGCCATGCTCTACCAACTGAGCTACCTCCCTGCCGGCCATTCCCTCCCCTACCCTGGGCCAATTGTGCGCCGCCCCATTGGTCTCCCGGTTGCGGCCGGCTACAGCAGAGCCTGGATTCGAACCAGGATCTCTAGTGGCACAGCTAGCACTGCGATGCAGTGCCTTAGACCACTGCGCCACTCGGGAAGGGAATTTCTCTTCAATTAGGAAACTATGGAATTGGAATTCGGTTTACTTTCCACATTGACTGGAATTGAAATGGAATCGAGCCCAATCCTGGTGTATAGTAATTGCATATATTGTATGCGTGTGTGTGTGTGTGTGTGTTTACCTTAGTGAGAACCACGTCCTCTCTGCCGTTCTTCTGAAGGACATGTTGGAGAGCCAGCTGGATCTTCTGTTGCAGCTTCTCTACCTTCACCTTCTCCTGAAGCCATGTCCGATCTGCACACACCATTTGTTTAACAATGCAACATTGGATGATAATAACCCAGAGATGCTCTAGGACTGACACAGGGATGCTGTGTGTATTGTGATTGTAGATATGTGCTTGCACCTTGCATAGTAAACATGACAGCATTTAATGTATTCAGAGAGTCCTCACGCCTACCTGCAGACATCAAGACGTATGCTGAGAACAGTGCGATCTCATCCTCAGAGAGATGCATGACGCACATACTCTTCCCAAACTCAAAGACTAACCGGATCAGGTCATCACAACCTGTCAGACACACAGAGAGACAGGAGAAGTTATGTGGGTCAGATCATCACAACCTGACAGACAGACAGACAGGAGAAGTTATGTGGGTCAGATCATCACAACCTGACAGACAGACAGACAGGAGAAGTTATGTGGGTCAGATCATCACAACCTGTCAGACAGACAGAGAGACAGGAGAAGTTATGTGGGTCAGATCATCACAACCTGACAGACAGACAGAGAGACAGGAGAAGTTATGTGGGTGAGATCATCACAACCTGTCAGACAGACAGAGAGACAGGAGAAGTTATGTGGGTCAGATCATCACAACCTGTCAAACAGACAGAGAGACAGGAGAAGTTATGTGGGTCAGATCATCACAACCTGTCAGACAGACAGAGAGACAGGAGAAGTTATGTGGGTGAGATCATCACAACCTGTCAGACAGACAGAGAGACAGGAGAAGTTATGTGGGTCAGATCATCACAACAGCATAGGACACAGAGCAGGATATCAGGATCTGAACAGACGTCACCTGACATGCATTGCTTTGGAGTACAGTCAGTCTAATCATATCTCATCATATCCTAGTGGCCCAGCCATTCAGTCAGAGGTAGTCAAAAAGAGTCCCTAATAATAACAACCAACTTCATCTCCAATTAAATCAATGGTTCTGAAACTGCTGAACCTCAAAAAACAGATCCAAGGGGATAGAAGTGTTCTGCTGGGTTGTATTCTGATTTACCTAATGCTTTGAAGACATCGGTCCCGGCGTATTTCCCATCAAAGTAGACGGTGCTGTTCTGAGAGTCAAAGGCACGACACATCCTGATGAACACCACCTCAAGAGACCCTGAGGAGAGACAACATAACTTAACCATCACTACAGGTCAGAGAGACAACATAACATAACCATCACTACAGGTCAGAGAGACAACATAACATAACCATCACTACAGGTCAGAGAGACAACATAACATAACCATCACTACAGGTCAGAGAGACAACATAACTTAACCATCACTACAGGTCAGAGAGACAACATAACATAACCATCACTACAGGTCAGAGAGACAACATAACATAACCATCACTACAGGTCAGAGAGACAACATAACATAACCATCACTACAGGTCAGAGAGACAACATAACATAACCATCACTACAGGGCAGAGAGACAACATAACATCACCATCACTACAGGTCAGAGAGACAACATAACATAACCATCACTACAGGTCAGAGAGACAACATAACATAACCATCACTACAGGTCAGAGAGACAACATAACATAACCATCACTACAGGTCAGAGAGAAAACATAACATAACCATCACTACAGGTCAGAGAGACAACATAACATAACCATCACTACAGGGCAGAGAGACAACATAACATAACCATCACTATAGGTCAGAGACAACATAACATAACCATCACTACAGGTCAGAGAGACAACATAACATAACCATCACTACAGGTCAGAGACAACATAACATAACCATCACTACAGGTCAGAGAGACAACATAACATAACCATCACTACAGGTCAGAGAGACAACATAACATAACCATCACTACAGGGCAGAGAGACAACATAACATAACCATCACTACAGGTCAGAGAGACAACATAACATAACCATCACTACAGGTCAGAGACAACATAACATAACCATCACTACAGGTCAGAGAGACAACATAAACATAACCATCACTACAGGTCAGAGAGACAACATAACATAACCATCACTACAGGTCAGAGAGACAACATAACATAACCATCACTACAGGTCAGAGAGACAACATAACATAACCATCACTACAGGTCAGAGAGACAACATAACATAACCATCACTACAGGTCAGAGAGACAACATAACATAACCATCACTACAGGGCAGAGAGACAACATAACATAACCATCACTACAGGTCAGAGAGACAACATAACATAACCATCACTACAGGTCAGAGAGACAACATAACATAACCATCACTACAGGTCAGAGACAACATAACATAACCATCACTACAGGTCAGAGAGACAACATAACATAACCATCACTACAGGTCAGAGACAACATAACATAACCATCACTACAGGTCAGAGACAACATAACATAACCATCACTATAGGTCAGAGAGACAACATAACATAACCATCACTACAGGTCAGAGAGACAACATAACATAACCATCACTACAGGTCAGAGACAACATAACATAACCATCACTACAGGTCAGAGAGACAACATAACATAACCATCACTACAGGTCAGAGAGACAACATAACATAACCATCACTACAGGTCAGAGACAACATAACATAACCATCACTACAGGGCAGAGAGACAACATAACATAACCATCACTACAGGTCAGAGACAACATAACATAACCATCACTACAGGTCAGAGAGACAACATAACATAACCATCACTACAGGTCAGAGAGACAACATAACATAACCATCACTACAGGTCAGAGACAACATAACATAACCATCACTACAGGTCAGAGAGACAACATAACATAACCATCACTATAGGTCAGAGAGACAACATAACATAACCATCACTATAGGTCAGAGACAACATAACATAACCATCACTACAGGTCAGAGAGACAACATAACATAACCATCACTACAGGTCAGAGACAACATAACATAACCATAACTACAGGTCAGAGAGACAACATAACATAACCATCACTACAGGTCAGAGAGACAACCTCAGCATTACTTTATGTTGTAAAGACAACACAATATCAACACAACAGGTTGGAGAGACAACAGCATGTCCTTGTGTAACCAAAGCACCTTTCTTATAGAAGTAGACAGTACATAGATATGGGGTTGATTATCATGCGTTGTCATTATTAGATGTTCCATCATTTTGTCTACCTGCTTTGAGCAGCACTATCTGGTCGTTCTGACAGAGCTCCATGAAGCCGTCGATGCGTTTGGCGAACTCCACCACGTACTGGATGGCCTCTGTTATCTTGATGGCACACAGCTGCCACATCACCTCCTCCGGCTGACATCAACAACAACAACAATGTTAAAAGGGGGATAATTGTTGATGCTAGTAACAGAGAGAGAGAGAGAGAAAAGAAAAGGGCAACCAGTGAAGAACAAACACCATTGTAAATACAACCCATATTTATGTTTATTTATTTTCCCATTTGTACTTTAACTATTTGCACATTGTTACAACACTGTATATATACATAATATGACATTTGAAATGTCTTTATTCTTTTGAAACTTCTGAGTGTAATGTTTACTGTTAATATTTATTGTTTATTTCACTTTTGTTTACTATCTACTTCACTTGCTTTGGCAATGTTAACACACGTTTCCCATGCCAATAAAGCCCTTGAATTGAAATTGAGAGAGAGAGAGAGAGAGAGAGAGAGAGAGAGAGAGAGAGAGAGAGAGAGAGAGAGAGAGAGAGAGAGAGAGAGAGAGAGAGAGAGAGAGAGAGGGTGACAAAGGCCTAAGATGTGTGAGGGGAGGAGAACAACAGGAAGGAGAGGGAGGAGAGGAGAACAACAGGAAGGAGGGAGGAGAGGAGAACAACAGGAAGGAGGGAGGAGAGGAGAACAACAGGAAGGAGGGAGGAGAGGAGAACAACAGGAAGGAGGGAGGAGAGGAGAACCACAGGAGGGAGAGGAGAGGAGGAGAGAGAACAACAGGAAGGAGGGAGGAGAGGAGAACAAACAGGAAGGAGGGAGGGAGGAGAGGAGAACAACAGGAAGGAGGGGGGAGAGGAGAACCACAGGAGGAAGGAGAGGAGAGGAGAACAACAGGAAGGAGGGAGGAGAGGAGAACAACAGGAAGGAGGGAGGAGAGGAGAACAACAGGAAGGAAGGAGGGGAGGAGAGGAGAACCACAGGAGGGAGGAGAGGAGAGGAGAACAACAGGAAGGAGGGAGGAGAGGAGAACAACAGGAGGGAGGAGAGGAGAGGAGAACAACAGGAAGGAGGGAGGAGAGGAGAACAACAGGAAGGAGGGAGGAGAGGAGAACAACAGGAAGGAGGGAGGAGAGGAGAACAACAGGAAGGAGGGAGGAGAGGAGAACACAGGAGGAGGGAGGAAGGAGAACAACAGGAAGGAGGGAGGAGAGGAGAAACAACAGGAAGGAGGGAGGAGAGGAGAACAAAGGAAGAGGAGGGAGGAGAGGAGAAAAGGAGGAGGGAGGAGGGAGAACAACAGGAAGAGGGAGGAGAGGAGAAAACAGAGAGGAGAAGGAGAACACAGAAGGGAGGAAACAGAGAGGAGAGAGACAACAGGAAGGAGGGAGAGAGGAGAACAACAGGAAGGAGGAGGAGAGGAGAACAAGAGGAAGGAGGAGGAGAGAGAACACAGGAAGGAGGGAGGAGAGGAGACAACAGGAAGGAGGGAGGAGAGGAGAACAACAGGAGGGGGGAGGAAGAGGAGATAAACAGGAGAGGTAGGAAGGAGAAACAGGAAGGAGGGAGAGAGGAGAACAAGGAGGAGAGAAAAAAAAGAAAGACTGTAGACGATAGTGTACTAGGTAGTGTGCTAGAGGTAGTGTACTAGAGGTAGTGTACTATGTAGTGTACTAGAGGTAGTGTACTAGAGGTAGTGTACTAGGTAGTGTACTAGAGGTAGTGTACTAGGTAGTGTACTAGGTAGTGTACTAGTGGTAGTGTACTAGAGGTAGTGTACTATGTAGTGTACTAGAGGTAGTGTACTAGAGGTAGTGTACTATGTAGTGTACTAGAGGTAGTGTACTAGGTAGTGTACTAGAGGTAGTGTACTAGGTAGTGTACTAGGTAGTGTACTAGTGGTAGTGTACTAGAGGTAGTGTACTATGTAGTTTACTAGAGGTAGTGTACTAGGTAGTGTACTAGTGGTAGTGTACTAGAGGTAGTGTACTAGTGGTAGTGTACTATGTAGTGTACTATGTAGTGTACTAGAGGTAGTGTACTATGTAGTGTACTAGAGGTAGTGTACTAGGTAGTGTACTAGAGGTAGTGTACTAGAGGTAGTGTACTAGAGGTAGTGTACTAGGTAGTGTGTAGTATACTAAGTAGTGTACTAGGTAGTGTACTAGGTAGTGTGTATTATTACCTTTGTCTGGTAGGTATCTATCTCTTCCTGGAAGAAGGCCTGCCAGGTCATGTTCTGTAGCTCCTCCCTCAAGTACTGACACGTATCCTGGTGGGACTTGGAGATGTTCTGGCCCAGGTGTTCTACAGGATAGAGCAACAGGACAACGTCAAGAGCTGGACCAGAACTGGTCAAGGACAACGTCAAGAGCTGGACCAGAACTGGTCAAGGACAACGTCAAGAGCTGGACCAGAACTGGTCATGTACAACGTCAAGAGCTGGACCAGAACCGGTCAAGGACAACGTCAAGAGCTGGACCAGAACTGGTCATGTACAACGTCAAGAGCTGGACCAGAACTGGTCATGTACAACGTCAAGAGCTGGACCAGAACTGGTCATGTACAACTTCTAGAGCTGGACCAGAACTGGTCATGTACAAAGTCAAGAGCTGGACCAGAACTGGTCATGTACAACGTCAAGAGCTGGACCAGAACTGGTCATGTACAACTTCTAGAGCTGGACCAGAACTGGTCATGTACAACGTCAAGAGCTGGACCAGAACTGGTCAAGTACAACTACAAGAGCTGGACGGACCACAGTGGTACCCTTTTCACATTATGGTACCGACCCGAACCAAACTGGATGGATATTTTATTTTCACATTATGGTACCGACCCGAACCAAACTGGATGGATATTTTATTTTCACATTATGGTACCGACCCAAACCAAACTGGATGGATTTTTTTAATATATTTTTTTACATTGTTCTTTCCAGCACAGTTGCACTTGGCTTGTCTCTGCCCAGTAGGGTGAAACGGGTTGAATATGGGTCAGCATTTAGGCAGAGCTCACATCTGTGACACACAGCAACATTGTTTCAATAAAGGGATATTTTTCCAACCCTACTGTTCTGCTATTCTATACTGTTACTGATGGTGGTGGTTGATCAACACTTACCATGACCCAGACAGGTCAGGTTGCTATTCTGGCATGACCCAGACAGTATTGAACTAGTATGGCATGACCCAGACAGTATTTTACTATTCTGGCATGACCCAGACAATATTGAACTATTCTGGCATGACCCAGACAGCATTTAACTATTCTGGCATGACCCAGACATTTTTTTGCTATTCTGGCATGACCCAGACAGTATTTTGCTATTCTGGCATGACCCAGACAGCATTGAACTATTCTGGCATTACCCAGACAGCATTTAACTATTCTGGCAAGACCCAGACAGTATTGAACTATTCTGGCATGACCCAGACAGTATTGAACTATTCTGGCATGACCCAGACAGGTCAGGTTGCTATTCTGGCATGACCCAGACAGTATTGAACTATTCTGGCATGACCCAGACAGTATTGAACTATTCTGGCATGACCCAGACAGCATTTTGCTATTCTGGCATGACCCAGACAGTATTTAACTATTCTGGCATGACCCAGACACATTTAACTATTCTGGCATGACCCAGACAGGTCAGGTTGCTATTCTGGCATGACCCAGACAGTATTTTGCTATGCTGGCATGACCCAGATAATATTGAAGTATTCTGGCATGACCCAGACAGTATTGCATTATTCTGGCATGACCCAGACAGGTCAGGTTGCCATTCTGGCATGACCTAGACAGTATTGAACTATTCTGGCATGACACAGACAGTATTTAACTATTCTGGCATGACCCAGACAGTATTGAACTATTCTGGCATGACCCAGACAGTATTGAACTATTCTGGCATGACCCAGACAGCATTTTGCTATTCTGGCATGACCCAGACAGTATTTAACTATTCTGGCATGACCCAGACACATTTAACTATTCTGGCATGACCCAGACAGGTCAGGTTGCTATTCTGGCATGACCCAGACAGCATTTAACTATTCTGGCAAGACCCAGACAGTATTGAAGTATTCTGGCATGACCCAGACAGTATTGCATTATTCTGGCATGACCCAGACAGGTCAGGTTGCTATTCTGGCATGACCCAGACAGTATTTTGCTATGCTGGCATGACCCAGATAATATTGAAGTATTCTGGCATGACCCAGACAGTATTGCATTATTCTGGCATGACCCAGACAGGTCAGGTTGCCATTCTGGCATGACCTAGACAGTATTGAACTATTCTGGCATGACACAGACAGTATTTAACTATTCTGGCATGACCCAGACAGTATTGAACTATTCTGGCATGACCCAGACAGTATTGAACTATTCTGGCATGACCCAGACAGCATTTTGCTATTCTGGCATGACCCAGACAGTATTTAACTATTCTGGCATGACCCAGACAGTATTTTACTATTCTGGCATGACCCAGACAGCATTTAACTATTCTGGCATGACCCAGACAGTATTGAACTATCCTGGCATGACCCAGACAATATTTAACTATTCTGGCATGACCCAGACAGCATTTAACTATTCTGGCATGACCCAGACAGTATTTTGCTATTTTGCTATTCTGGCATGACCCAGACAGTATTTTGCTATTCTGGCAAGACCCAGACAGTATTGAACTATTCTGGCATGACCCAGACAGTATTGAACTATTCTGGCATGACCTAGACAGTATTGAACTATTCTGGCATGACACAGACAGTATTTAACTATTCTGGCATGACCCAGACAGTATTTTACTATTCTGGCATGACCCAGACAGCATTGAACTATTCTGGCATGACCCAGACAGCATTTAACTATTCTGGCATGACCCAGACAGTATTTAACTATTCTGGCATGACCCAGACAGCATTTAACTATTCTGGCATGACCCAGACAGTATTGAACTATTCTGGCATGACCCAGACAGCATTTTGCTATTCTGGCATGACCCAGACAGTATTTAACTATTCTGGCATGACCCAGACACATTTAACTATTCTGGCATGACCCAGACAGGTCAGGTTGCTATTCTGGCATGACCCAGACAGTATTTTGCTATGCTGGCATGACCCAGATAATATTGAAGTATTCTGGCATGACCCAGACAGTTATTGCATTATTCTGGCATGACCCAGACAAGGTCAGTGTTGCCATCTGGCATGACCTAGACAGTATTGAACTATTCTGGCATGACACAGACAGTTATTTAACTATGTCTGGCATGACCCCAGACAGTATGAAACTATTCTGGCATGAACCCGACAGTATTGAACTATTGTTCTGGCATGACCCCGACACATTTTGCTATTCTGGCATACCCAGACAGTAATTTAACTATTCTGGCATGACCCAGACAGTATTTAACTTATTCTGGCATGACCCAGACAGTATGTAACTATTCTGGCATGACCCAGACAGTATTGACTATCCTGGCATGACCCAGACAATATTTAACTAATCTGGCATGACCCAGACGCATGTTAACTGTTCTGGCATGACCCAACAGTTATTTTGCTATTTTGCTATTCTGGCATGACCCAGACAGTTTTTGCTATTCTGCATGACCCAGGCAGTATTGAACTATTCTGGCATGACCCAGCAGTAATTTTGCTATTCTGGCATGACCCAGACAGTATTGAACTATTCTGGCATGACCCAGACAGTATTTTGCTATTCTGGCATGACCCAGACAGTATTTGCTATTCTGGCATGACCCAGACAGTATTTTGCTATTCTGGCATGACCCCAGACAGTATTTTACTATTCTGGCATGACCCAGACAGTATTTTGCTATTCTGGCATGACCCAGACAGTATTTTGCTATTCTGGCATGACCCAGACAGTATTTTACTATTCTGGCATGACCCAGACAGTATTTTGCTATTCTGGCATGACCCAGACAGTATTTTGCTATTCTGGCATGACCCAGACAGTATTTTGCTATTCTGGCATGACCCAGACAGTATTTTACTATTCTGGCATGACCCAGACAGTATTTTACTATTCTGGCATGACCCAGACAGTATTTTGCTATTCTGTTAACTATGTTGGTGCTGGATGATCTACAATAGAGAATACTACATATGTTCATACACTAATTTAACTTAAAACAAAGGGCCATATTTCCTACAGGAAAGGGAAAGAGAATATCATAATGATAAACGCTTTTGTTAAAAGAAGAAAATCACTTCCTGAGAGCTCAAGGGAGAGTAAATAACTGATTTCCCTGTACATGTGCCCCTCTGGTTCTCAATAGGAGCTAATTAACACAATACTAATTAACCAGACAATGTTCTAATGAGCTCTGAAGATGAGTTTGCAGCCTCCTGCTATTTTAAACCACCTTTGGTGTTGTTTTGCCCCAGGGTTGGCTCTCATCTCTGTTCTTCCCATCCGTTTTCTTTCTTTACCTATATATCCCTCTCTCTCTCTTCTCTGTTCTTTCCCTCTTTAACCCCTCCCTCCCTCCCTGTCTCCCTCCCTGTCTCCCATCCCTTTCTCCTCCCCTCCTCCCTCCCTCCACTAACCCAGCCATGGACCAGGTAGGAGACGTCTCTCCCTTTCCCTCCATATCCCTCTCTCCACCTCTTCCCCCCTCCACCCTCCCTCCCTCCCTCCCTCCCTCCCTCCCTCCCTCCCTCCCTCCATCCCCCCCTCTCCCACCCTCCCTCCCTCCCTCCCCCTCTCTCCACTCACCTAGCTCAGCCATAGAGACTGTGGGAGACGTCTCTCCGTTGGTGAGGGAACAGTAGGGGAAAAAACCCTGGTTGGAACCATAATCACACAGAGGCTCCGGTTTTATACCGTTAATATCCAGACCAGACTGATCGGGAGACGGCTGAATATCCAGGTAGAACCCCACCACTCCTCCTGAGTCAGAGCCCCCCTTGGAGGCTGGGCAGTTGCCCCCCTCAGGACTGTGTTCCTCCATGTACCCTCCCAGGTCTTCGTGGAGGTCGGTGAGGCCGTAGGGGGGAGAGAGGGGCACGGCCTCCCCCGGGTTCTGGGGGTTGTGGTGGGGGTGGTGGTCTCTCTGCTGGGCCTGCTGTAGACGGTGCTTCTGGACCTCAGCATACAGGCTGTCTCTCTGCTTCTTGGACATACGGCCAAACTTCACCGCTGTGCACATGGAGAGACATTGATAAAGGGTTATTTAACTGAACGATAGTGTGCGATAACTTGACCTCTCTGAGGAGGTAGATGAAGACGTATGAAGTGGACTCATAATCCAATGTGTGTGTCGGTGTCTGTGTGTGTCGGTGTCTGTGTGTGTCGGTGTCTGTGTGCATGCATTCATTTGTACAGTATGACTATACATCAGGGTTAATTCCACAAATTCAATTTTTATTGAATTCTCTCTCCCTGTAAATTCAATTTATTTCTATTCAAATTCCAAGTCAGTCTTTGAATTCAGAGATAATTAAATTCCTCTCAATTCCAATATTAGGTAAATTCCAAGAATTCAATTCCCAATTCAATATTATCCACAACAATTCCACAAATTTCAATTTGAATTCAATTCCCTCAGGCTTTCGGGCTGATCATGCCACTGTTTAGACAGCCTAGCTATACTGGAAATATAGAAATACATGTTTAAATGATTTCAAACAAATCCTGCAGTCAATGTTTGATACTATGTGCATTAATTCCATTAACTGGGAAATGTAAACATACTGAATTCTAATTAAATTTGATTACAAAGATTACATGTTTTACAATTCCAATTCAATTCCAATTCAGAAAATCCAAACAGTGTAATTCCAATTCAATTCCAATTCCATAACATGAAGACCGTTGACATTTGAATTGAATTCATCATAAATTCTTCACTTCATGAGTGAATTCAAGAATTGAAATGGAATTTCAAATGAAATTGGAATTGACCCCAACCCTGCTATACATACCGTCCCGTGACATGCCTACGGTCAGGCATTTCTGCAGTCTACAGTGTTGGCAGCGGTTTCTGCTGGTCCTGTCAATCAAACAGTTATTCTGACGAGGGCAGGAGTACCCTGCATTACTCTGCTGGCTCCTCCTGAAGAAACCCTGGAGGGAGGGAGGGAGGGAGGGAGGGAGGGAGGGAGGAGAGAGAGATGGGAGGGCGTGGAGGGAGGTGAGAGATATATGGAGTGAGTGGATGTATGGAGGGGTGACTGGGGAGTTCGGTATCAAAATGAGAGTCAAACAATAGTTAAAAAGCCCCTCAGCTAAGGGTGAGGTTAGTGCTGTCAAAAGAGATGGCTATAGTGCTGTCAAAAGAGATGGCTTAAGAGATGGTACAATACATGTCCTGACACCACAGACTAGTAACACTTAGCCTAATCTTATATCAATCAAATATTATGTGAAATCCCTCCAGCGGATCATTTAAAGACCCAGATCTACAGTTCCACACAGATGTCTTCATAAGCTGTTCATTTACTGTTTAATGACTAGACATCAGACACCATCTGCCTCAGTGCTGTTCTCTCTTCTCCACCAATACAGTCTGATTCATGATCTACTCTAGACTCCTGTTCTTACTACAAAACACATTAAATGCCTCTCTGCCTCAGTTAATTAGCAGTAATGAGAGAGAGAGAGAGACAGAGAGAGAGAGAGAGAGAGAGAGAGAGAGAGAGAGAGAGAGAGAGAGAGAGAGAGAGCAGAGAGAGACACAGAGAGAGAGAGAGAGACACAGAGAGAGAGAGAGAGAGAGAGAGAGAGAGAGAGAGAGAGAGAGAGAGAGAGAGAGAGAGAGAGAAAGAGAGAGACTGAAGGCCAGTTTGAGATAGAGCCTGGTTTTGCGGCTGATAGGAGACCGTTTCCCCAGGACAGGCGATAAGGGTTGTCAGTTGAACAGCCACCATGCTTCTACATCTGCATTGCTTGCTGTTTGGGGTTTTAGGCTGGGTTTCTGTATAGCACTTTGTGACATCTGCTGATGTAAAAAGGTCTTTGTAAATACATTTGATTGAATAATAATCACTGTTTTACTGAGAGGAGAGGGATGACATTACCGAACGATGTAAAAGAGAGAGAGCTAAGTGGAAACAGTTTCAAGATGTGAAACATACCAATATAGATAGTAATTACAGTAGAATTAAAGTAGTGTTAAAAATGACTTAACACAACTCAATGTAGTTTCTTAGTTTCACTTTGTGTAAAGCAACCTTTCAAATTTCCTCTGATTTTTTATTGATTTTTTGCTTGAATGGAGGTGGTTAAAAATAGTATTATAGTTTCCCCCATTCTCAATGGAAGTATAATGCATGACATGATTAAATAAAAACACAGAAACTGGCTGTCTTTTTTTTCATAACTTTGAAGTTTCCCACGGAATAACTTGACTTTAGAGTTTTCTAAAAGCAATTCTTTCAACTGTCTCTGAGTCAGAGGGAGAGGAGAAACCAACTGTCATTGTCGAGTCCCATCTCCATGGCAACCCCAGCAGGAAGTGACATCAAAAAACGCATGTTTCTTCTTACCTTGCAGCCTTCGCAGGTGATCACGCCGTAGTGGATACCTGACGACTTATCTCCACATATCTTGCAAGGAATGATTTCAATTTGAGCTGGAGAGAGGGAAGAGAGAGAGAGAGAGAGAGAGAGAGAGAGAGAGAGAGAGAGAGATCGAGAGAGAGAGAGGAGAGAGAGAGAGAGAGAGAGAAGGAGAGAGAGAGAGAGAGAGAGAGAGAGAGAGAGAGAGAGAGAGAGAGAGAGGAGAGAGAGAGAGAGAGAGACGAGGAGAGAGAGAGAGAGAGAGAGAGAGAGAGAGATAGAGAGAGAGAGAGAGAGAGAGAGAGAGAGAGAGAGAGAGAGACACAGAGACACAGAGACACAGAGAGAGGGAGAGGGGAAACAGAGAGTCAGGATCTGTCTCCTGTCAACATCAAACCCACCACAGTTCACCAGGGCAACAAAATGTCGAAAAAGTCAAGGGGTCTGAATGCTTTCCGAACGCACCGTATATCTGGGGCTCTAGACTGTAGTAACAGGGAGCAGCCACCAGGTGTCAGTGCAGGTGTGTGGAAAGCCTATAGTGGATTTCTACAGTACAGTGTTGCTGCTCAAAGGTATGAGAGGGTTAACAAACTAGTGGCTTAGAGATTTTGTTTGGGGTTTAAACACTCAATGGGATGAAGCAATCAAACCAGTAGAAAAGATTCAGAGATGATGACATTATTCCAGTTATTTGCAAAAGCAAGGATGAAAAAAAAACACAATTCATCTAGAGGAACAAATACATGTTTCAGTGGGACTGCTTCAGATGCCAGACACACGGGTAGTTGCCTGCCAGCCAGTATTCCAAACCCATATCATATCATACTGCACTGTATTCCAAACCCATATCATATCATACTGCACTGTATTCCAAACCCATATCATATCATACTGCACTATATTCCAAACCCATATCATATCATACTGCACTGTATTCCAAACCCATATCATATCATACTGCACTGTATTCCAAACCCATATCATACTGCACTGTATTCCAAACCCATATCATACTGCACTGTATTCAGAACCCATATCATACTGCACTGTATTCCAAACCCATATCATATCATACTGCACTGTATTCCAAACCCATATCATATCATACTGCACTGTATTCCAAACCCATATCATACTGCACTGTATTCCAAACCAAACCCATATCTTATCCAAACCCATATCTATAACTGCACTGTATTCCAAACCCATATCACATCATACTGCACTGTATTCCAAACCCATATCATATCATACTGCACTGTATTCCAAACTCATATCATACTGCACTGCATTCCAAACCCATATCATATCATACTGCACTGTATTCAGAACCCATATCCTATCATACTGCACTGTATTCCAAACCCATATCATATCATACTGCACTGTATTCCATGATATGATATGGGTTCTGAATACAGTGCAGTATGAAATGGGTTCTGAATACAGTGCAGTATGATATGGGTTCTGAATACAGTGCAGTATGATTGGGGTTCTGAATACAGTGCAGTATGATATGATATGGGTTTGGAATAGAGTGCAGTATGATTTTATATGGGTTCTGAATACAGGGCAGTATGATTGGGGTTCTGAATACCGTGCAGTATGAAATGATATGAGTTTGGAATACAGTGCAGTATCTAATGAGATGCCATGTTCTTTGTGAAGCAGTTCGATTTAAGTTGTTTCCACCATTACTGGTTTCTTTAGAGTGTTGCGGTATTTGTACTGTAAAGTAACTAGCCAATAGATATCTCTAATACAACGTTACCATCTGAGAAAAACATTGAATTAGCTAGAGACCAGACACATACTGGATATTTGATGACAAAGTGTTTAAAAAAACGTTGTTGTTGTTAAAAGGTCTAAAATAAGTCTGTGGTGAATGCGTTAGAAACATGTGTCGACGTTGACTGTAGCTGTCAGGGACCAAATGACGCACTTAAGAAGTTGGGTGGTTTCTACAGCGCTGACACACACACACACACACACACACACACACACACACACACACACAATGTTGTGTGCTGTTATGTAAGCGGTTTGACAGGGATGCAATACAAGGCCTGAACACAACACAGGCTATCATTCTAAACAGACGAAGCGTGTTGCAAGTCCACAGGGAACACAGGGAACACAGGCTTACAGTAACAACTCATTACAGGGCTGAAAACACAGGTTTCACAATACATAAAGAGGTGAAAGGTTAAGGCGGATTGGAGGTATGGCATTCAAACACTACACTGGGTTATTGGTCCAAACAAGTCATAAATCCTTGTAGGCTTGCACTGTTACAAGCCTTGAGGGAATTAGCAACCATTTCTCAGAACTCACAACCTTTATTGTGCACACAAACCCAATGGGAAATCCTGTACCTACACCTCTATAAGCTGGGTTGAATACACACATCAGCCAATTAAAATCGTTGACGTAGTTGCACGTGATTAAAAACTCTACATGTTAGCTGTTCCCATTGGAAAACATGGCACATTTAGCTGGCAGTGGTTACTTCTTGCAACAAATTCCGCATCGGCCAATCAAAGATCTTAAGACTTTATATCCACCAACCAATGGTATGTCTTAAAATAGATCAACTTGGCCAATTATTGCATGATGCATCCTTGACTAGGTTAGCTGCTAACGTTAGGCAAAAACTCCTGTCGCAGCCGGCCGCGACCGGGAGACTCATGGGGCGGCGCACAATTGGCCCAGCGTCGTCCAGGGTAGGGGAGGGAATGGCCGGCAGGGAGGTAGTTCAGTTGATAGAGCATGGCGTTTGCAACGCCAGGGTTGTGGGTTCGATTCCCACGGGGGGGCCAGTATATATAAAAAAATATGTATTCACTAACTGTAAGTCGCTCTGGATAAGAGCGTCTGCTAAATGGCTAAAATGTAAAATGTAAATGTAAAATTCAAGAGGCATGTTTTCGTATATGTGACAAAATCCTGTGTTTTTTTGTTTATCCATTTCATCCATGTGTTTTACAGGAAAATGATTAAAAGAGGTCTATACGACATCGAAGTTTATCGTTTAAAAAAAAGTCAAAGAGCCTTATGGTCTTGTCAAATAGCTGTCATGTACCTCCATCACCATTGCTGCCAGGTGGCATACACCAGTTAACTGTGAATCTGCGGGGTACAGTAATCGTTGGTTCGAGGCCCCCCTTGCGTCAAGCTTTTTTGTTAAGGAAAAAACTGTTCACTGCTGGTCCTCGATGCTCGATTGAAGTAACGCATATGTGACTGGTTTCAGGAAACTAGGCGTATGTCGCGCATCACTACTTCACAGGAGAGGCATTTGAACGTAATGCCTTCTGGAACATGTCAACTTTCATGTGCCTTAATAACAACTTGTATGTCATCTGTAAATACGAATTCAATTGTTAAATTACAAGCCTAGTTGGTTAAGCCACAGAAAAAAGACAGCAACCTTCCCGCTAGCCATGATTGGCTAAGATAATGAGTGGGCTGGACATGCCGAGAGATCGAGTTTTGAAATCAGTGGAATTAGAGTATGATAGCTAAGGAGATGGAGAAAACACCCGTCTCCGGATTACATCTTCAAACTAAGGGCAACCATGCTATCCGTGACAGAGAGGGATAAGCGTCCATCCATGTATACGGGTGAGATAGTCGAGCTAGCTACATTTTCAGATATTACACGTTTCACATTTTGTCAGAAAGTCATTTTCATTTCAAGTTAAAGTGTACTGTTAGCTAGCTAGCTAACGTTAGCTGGGCAGGCTCGCTAGCTAACGTTACGTGTATGATCTGTGTAGAAATATTATTCGTATCTCAGAGCCATTTGCTTTGCTAGTTATAGCCTAATGTTAGCTAGCTAACATTGAACCTGGTTGGTTAGCTACCTGCAGATTCATGCAGGGTAGTTGGGATTGTGGTTCATTGTTTAGCTAGCTAACATGATTGGATGATTTAAGTGAAGGCATACACGTCTATTTAATATATACAGGCCTAATAAACTTGATTATTAGCTGTGTGCTTGTCTACAAGGCTGAAGAAAGATGCATTCAATGTGTCACTATACCTGACAGTTCCATTTGTGGAGGGAATGACATTCATTTGAGGGGGATGTGGTTGACTTCTCTAATAAATGGACTGAGGCTGAACTTAAAGATGGAATCTGCATTAGAGGCTGAACTTAAAGCTGGAATCTGCATTAGGAGAAACAGCACCACTGCTCACCCAAGCGCCTTTGGTATTGTTTTGGTTTTGTTGACCAAACGGAGGGGAGGAGTGTCCAAATGGAGGGGAGGAGTGTCCAAATGGAGGGGAGGAGTGTCCAAATGGAGGTGAGGAGTGTCCAAATGGAGGGGAGGAGTGTCCAAATGGAGGGGAGGAGTGTCCAAATGGAGGGGAGGAGTGTCCAAATGGAGGTGAGCAGCGTGGTAATAAAAATCGGAAAATATTACCTGGGCCCTGGCAGTAAACCCCAAAAATACTAAAATAATGATTTTCCAGAGAAGATCTCAGGTAATTAGACCAAAATTCTCAATTGGTACAAAATATATAGTGTTCTGAACACACTACAATTACTTAGGTTTAAAAATAAGCTCAACTGGACACCTTTATGATGCAGTGAATGAACTGAGTTAGAAAGCACACAGGGCATTCTACGCCATTAAAAAACCAATTAAAAATTGAAATACCTATTAAAATTTGGGTAAAACTAATTGAATGTGTCATTGAACCAATTGCACTTCATGGCAGCGAGGTGTGGGGTCCACTTGCAAAACAAGATTTCACCAAATGGGACAAACACCCCATTGGAACCCTGCATGCAAAGTTCTCCAGAGGAAAACTACAAACAATGCATGCAGGGCAGAATTAGGCCAATATCCACAATAGTAAAAACTCAAAAAATAGCAATTAAGTTTTGGAAACATCAAAAAAACAGTGACCCCGTCTCATATCATTACCAAGCCCTGCGATGCCAAGAGCTGAGCAAAGAAAAGAGTCCCCTCATCCAGCTGGTCCTGGGGCTGAGTTCACAAACCTGTTCTACTAACACACTGAAGCCTCAGGACCAAAACATCCAATCAATCAGAATAAACCAAATTACAACACAGTCAAAACAAAACGACATTGCTTATTGGGAAACACAAGCACAAGCACAAAGTAAAATGCAGTGCTATCTGGCCCCAAATCGACAGTACACTGTGGCTAACTATTTGACCATGGTTACTGATCAAAACCTTAGAAAAACCTTGACAAAGTACAGGCTCAGTGAGCACAGTCTTGCCATTGAGAAGGGTAGACACAGGAAAACCTGGCTCCCTGTAGAGGAAAGGCTGTGTCACCACTGCACCACAGCAGAACCTGAGACAGAGCTGCATTTCCTGACAAAATGTCAAAAATAGAAAAAAGATTAGAGAGTGTCATTTCCCCAAATTTGAGACAGGTTTTCAAGGTTTCAAAGACCTCTCTGATGAGAACAGGCTCCCCGTCCTGTTGGGGGAGGAAGCAGAGAGCTGTGGGTTGGCAACGCACCACATTTCTGCCTGCCATAAGATGAGGGACAGTGTCTGACAGACCAACCAACCTGCACATGTCCTCTATATTGTTATTGTTCAATTGTTATTTTGACCCCTGGTTATTGTTGTTACTGTTGATTATTTTAAATATGTTAATAATGTAAATATCCAAAGTAAGCTTTGGCAATATGTACATTATTACGTCATGCCAATAAAGCAAATTGAATTAAATTGAAATTGAAATGGACAGAGACAGACAGACAGACAGACAGACAGACAGACAGACAGACAGACAGAGAGAGAGAGAGAGAGAGAGAGAGAGAGAGAGAGAGAGAGAGACACACAGACAGACAGACAGACAGACAGACAGACAGACAGACAGACAGACAGACAGACAGACAGACAGACAGACAGACAGAGAGAGAGAGACAGACAGAGAGACAGACAGACAGACAGAGAGAGAACAAGCGGAAGAAAGGTGAGGAGTGAGGAGAGAAAGAGAAGTTTATCTCCAACGGTAGAGCGGCAGGCGAACAGAGCAGAGGGCTGGAGAATAAGAAGAGGCTATTTTCACCTGCTCAGAAACATCCTGCCTCACTCATAGCTGTTCAACACCCAGAAACATCCTGCCTCACTCATAGCTGTTTAACACCAAGCATAGAAGATGAAGACTGGAGAGTGGAGGGTCGAGCAGCGTGCTGAGACCAGATATGACCATTACACCCTGACTGTCTGGAGGGTCGAGCAGCGCGCTGAGACCAGATATGACCATTACACCCTGACTGTCTGGAGGGTCGAGCAGCGCGCTGAGACCAGATATGACCATTACACCCTGACTGTCTGCATGGGAGGAGGCCATGACTATAGGCAGACAGATGGACGGACGGGACGGGAAGACACAGTGGACAGAAAGACAGACAGATAGACACATGGTACTCTGATAAATGGTACTCTGATGAATGGTACTCTGCTGAATGGTACTCTGATAAATGGTACTCTGATGAATGGTACTCTGCTGAATGGTACTCTGATGAATGGTACTCTACTGAATGGTGCTCTGATGAATGGTACTCTGATGAATGGTGCTCTGATTAATGGTACTTTGCTGAATGGTACTCTGATAAATGGTACTCTGCTGAATGGTACTCTGATTAATGGTACTCTGCTGAATGGTACTCTGATTAATGGTACTCTGCTGAACGGTACTCTACTGAACGGTACTCTGATGAATGGTACTCTACTGAACGGTACTCTGCTGAACGGTACTCTACTGAACGGTACTCTGCTGAATGGTACTCTGCTGAACGGTACTCTGCTGAATGGTACTCTGCTGAACGGTACTCTGCTGAACGGTACTCTACTGAACGGTACTCTGATGAATGGTCCTCTACTGAATGGTACTCTACTGAACGGTACTCTGCTGAATGGTACTCTGCTGAACGGTACTCTACTGAACGGTACTCTACTGAACGGTACTCTGCTGAACGGTACTCTACTGAACGGTACTCTGATGAATGGTACTTTACTATATGTACTTCAGGCTCTACTAGAGAATCAGCTCAAATGCTCTCTGACATTCCCACAGAGTAAAACGGGGAAACAGGAAAAGAGGGGGAGGATTAATGTTGACCCCCCATCGAGTATCACCCCAGTGTGTGTGTGTGTGTGTGTGTGTGTGTGTTTTCTTTGTGTGTGTCTGTGTGTGTGTGCGTACGCACCAGTGTGTGCGCTCCCCTTTGTGTGTATGTATTGATTGCAGACGGCAGTGTGTAATATATCTGTTGCCATGGCAGTGATTGACGAGCATCCTGACTGGGAAGTCTGTGTTTGGGCTCGGGGGGATAACAACACAACAACACAAAGAAACAGAGTTGACACAGCAGCACAGGAGCCTTGATACAGGCCTCAGTACAGTGTGTGGTTCACACGCAGAGACAGAGACAGAGACAGAGAGAGACAGAGAGACAGAGAGAGAGAGACAGAGACATAGACAGAGACAGAGAGAGACAGAGACAGAGAGAGACAGAGACAGAGGGAGAGACAGAGACAGAGACAGAGACAGAGACAGAGAGACAGAGGCAGAGACAGAGACAGAGACAGAGACAGAGACAGAGAGACAGAGGGAGAGACAGAGACAGAGACAGAGACAGAGACAGAGAGAGAGACAGAGACAGAGACAGAGACCGAGGCAGGGCAGAGACAGAGACAGAGGCAGAGACAGAGACAGAGACAGAGAGAGAGACAGGGCAGAGAAGAACAGAGGACAGAAAAGAGAAGAGACGAAAAGAGACGAGACAGAGAAAAGGGCAGAGAGACAGAGGCAGAGACAGAGAAGAGAGACGAGGCAGAGACAGAGAAGGGGCCGGGAGGGGCAGAGGAGGGGCAGGGCAGAGGCAGAGACAGAGACAGAGACAGAAAAAGAGACAGAGAAAGGAGAGAGAAGAGACAGGGGACAGAGGCAGAGACAGAGACAAAGAGGAGACCAGGGCAGGGGCAGAGCCCAGAGACAGAGAAAAAGGACAGGGGGAAAGGAAGAAAAGAACAGAGGCAAGAAAGAGACAAGAAAAGAGACAGAGGAAAGACAAGAAAGCGGCAGCAGAGGAGAGGCAAGGCAGAGAGACAGAAAACAGAGACGAGAAGAGGACGAGAAGAGAGACAGAGACAGAGACAGAGAGGGGGGAGAGAAGAGCAGAGACAGAGGACAGAGGCAGAGACAGAGACAGAGAAAAAGGAAGGGGGAAAAAGGGACAGAGACAGAGACAGAAAAGGGAAAAGGGGGCAGAGCAGGGGGACAGAAAAGAGATCATAAAAAGGAGGGGAAAAAAGGTAATCCCCATCCAGCAGTAAAACCTTATTTCAAAAATTTTGCCCCTCAAACTAAAGTAAGCAAGTTTCCCCCAAACAGGCCTCAGCCCCGCTCAATCCAATACAAGAGGGAAACCCCTTTCCCCCATTTTTCTCCCCCCCAGCTCCACACAAACTCCCCCCCCCCCTTCCCCCCACAGACTGTTACTCCCCAAGGAAACCCTTCCACCCTTTTGTTTAAACAAAGGAGGGGAAAGAAAGGGAGTAAGGAAAAAGAGAACACCCGGTGGTTTTTGAGACGGACCCTTTGGGAGGCACACACCAAAAACTGGGGGTCAAAGTACACGCACAAAGCCCAAAACGCACAAAACCCCTACCCATGAGGTTTTAAAATGAAACTGCAGATCCCTGGGGTTTGGATTTACATTTTTAGTCTTGAACTTTCCCCAAATTTCGGGGGGGAGTTCCTTCCATCCCTCCTTCCTAAGGAAAAGGGGAAAGGAAGAGAGAAAAAAAAAAAAAAAAAAAAAAATAAACAAAAAGGGGAAAAACCAAGGGAAAAAAAAAAAAAACCCCCCTTTTAAAACCTTAAAAAAAAAAAAAAAAAAATTTTTTTAAAAGGGACCCCAAATTTTTTTTAAAAAATAAAAAAAAAAGTTTTAAAAAAAACCAAAAATTATTCAGAAGGGGGGTAAGGGGAAGGGGGGTTTGTTTAAACCTTTTTTCCCCTTTCCCTTCCCTTTCCTCTTTTTTTTCCCCCTCCCCCTTTCTCTTTCCTCCCCCTCCTCTCCCTTCCCTTCCCTCTCCCTCTCGTTCCCCTTTTGGGTCTCCCCTTAAATTTCAATTAAAAATCAATTAAATTAAAGGTTATTGGATGGGAAAATATGTAACGTGTAAAAGAAGTGAAGTGGTAGTAAAAAAAAAGTGAAATAAACAAAAATTTTAACAGTAAACTTTACCCAGAATTTCCAAAGAAAAAGACTTTTCAAAGTTATGATGAATTACGGGTTTTGTAACAATGTGCAAATAGTTAAATACAAAAGGGGAAAAATAAATAAACATAAATAGGGGTTTTGTTTTTAAAAGGTGTTTTTCTTCAGGGTTCCCTTTTCTTGGGGAAACAGGCCCCAAATCTTGCAGCTGTGATGGCACACGTGGTATTTCACCAATAGAAAAGGGGAGTTACAAAATTGGATTTTTTTCAAATTCTTGTGGGTCTGTGTAATTGGGGGAAATTTTGGGGTCTCTAATAGATATAATTTTGGCAGGGGGTTAGGAAGGCAGTCATTTCCACCTCTTTTTTGTGGGCAGTGTGCACATAGCCTGTTTTTTGAGACCCAAAGGTCTGCCACGGCAGCCTCTCAATAGCAAGGCTAGGCTCATGAGTTTCCCTGTCAAAGCTTTTTAATTTTGGGGTCAGTCACAGTGGTCAGGTTTGCCCTGTGTACTTTCTTTTAAAGGGCCCCAAAAGATTCAGTTGAACTGTTTTTTTTTTTTAATCTTTCAATGTGTCAAGTAATTATTTTTTTGGGAAATTGTGTTGCTGTCCTGGGGCCTGTGGGTTTTTTGGTTGTAAACAGAGCCCAATGCCCCAGTTTGTTTGGGGACTCTTCTCCGGTTCATCTCTGTACGTGATAGTTTTTATAAAAGGTTTTTGGGAATCACTTCCTTTAGAGGGTTTAAAATTTTAAACGGCCTTTTCGGTTTTTGATCATGGGGGTATGGCCCCTAATTCGCTCTGCATGATATTTGGGGTTTTAGGTTACAGAGGATTTTTTTTGTCTAAAATTTAGGTTTGCCCCTTTTTGTAAAATTCTGGTTTGGTGACGGCCCCCAACCCACAACCCATTAAGGGCAAGGGGTTTATAATGATTCAAGTATTTTTAGCCAGACCCCTAATTGGATGCAAATTTTGGGTTTTTCCCTTTGGGGCCCGTAAAAGGCCCTTCTTCCCTTGCCCTTTCAGATCGTTCACAGATTTGGGAATTTACCGGGCGGAGTTTGCCGAGGATTTAGTTTTTTGTGGCTTAGGCAAAGGTTCTAGATGGAAATTTTTATTTGGGGGTTGGGAACTGGGACCTTTTTGGAACACCATTATTTTTGTCTACAGATTACTGTCAGGGGCCCGGGACAGAAACTTGAGAAGCTAGGTGTGGAGGCCTCTTGGGTGCGAGGCCACCATTAGGGGCTTGTAGGCCATCCTTGGTTTTTGTAGGATCCATAGGTGCTGCTGTAGGGCCACCTTGGTTGTGTAGGCCATCCTTGGTGCCGGGAGGCCCTCCTGGCTGCTGTAGGCCATCCATCTAGGTTGTGTGTAGGCCATCCACAGACGGGTCATATTTATTCAGAACCAATCCGATGGGAAGTCCCCTGCACGACAGACTGGGTTAATTTTTCCATCTGCATGACAGCATCAGGTCCCAGGGGAAAATAAGCGCGTACAAGGCTGCATCCCAAATGGCACCCTATTCCCTATGTAGCACACTACCTTTGACCAAATCCCTATGTGCCCTGGTCCAAACTAGTGCACTATATAGGGAATAGGGTGCCATTTTGGGACACAAACCAAGTCCTCCTCATTCCTCCTCCTCCTCTCTGAGAGAGAGAGAGAGCATTGTACTGCGTGCTACAGTCACTAACAGGACTACGTATCCGTGAAGAAGTCTTGTGATGTCATAAACAGACCTAGCCTAACTGTCCGTTTCTCCCACTATAAGCCACATTTGACATGCTTCCACGCACAGTCTTCAAAGTCTCTCAGAAGTAGACTAAAGGGTCAACGTTAAACCACAGTATTACTTCTGGACATTTTCCCATCTGAGACTGAGAGTGACTGAGGA